CCGGCACGCTGAGATCGGGAGATATAAAGTGAGCCCTGACGGGAATGCGACAGACAGTGCCCACCGTATTTCCCCCTCGTCCGCGCATGTATCGTGTGGGGCTTCCACTGCCCGCTGCGTCGTAAGTATACCCCCCTCACCACTCGTCGGTCACGGCTGACGTTGACGGTGAGAGCAGGTCATCTCCTCGCCTTGTCCCATCCGGGGCGGGCGCAGGCTCCGGCAGAAACGCCGTTCGCCTTCGAATCGCGGTCGAGGTTGACCTCGGTTGACCTCGCAGGCGTCAGGTCCCGATCCCGAGCTCAATTGGAGGAGCTGCTGGTCCGCTGGTGGGGCTTGGCCTGCCGGGGATGAGTAGGTCGGTGTGCGCTCGCCGTCATGCGTCTCGGGCTTATTTAGTGTGTATATGTCGTTTGCGGACGTGGTTGCGGCCGATGAGACGCCTGAACGTGGCAGAGTCTTGGGGTGGCCGAGGCGCATTCCACGCTTCGTGAACGCGGCTGTCGATGGGCGAATTCGCCGCTTTGTCCTTCGGGACGGCCGCCGCGGCGGTCGGAATCTCGTTGCGCCGGGGTGGTCGACACCGACGTCGGGGCGCGCTCTTTGGGTAGACAGGGTTGTGTAAAGCCACGCGGGCATCAGTGACGACGCGCACATTAAGGTGGACGGCAGGTTTGTTGAACCGGCGACCGATGAGATGCTTGAAGGCGAACGCAGTGGCTGACGGGACGCTTGGCACGGGCAGAGCTTGGTGAAGGCGACTCCGGAAGGAGCCATCGGCTGCCCAATGAACTTGGCAGTCTTGCCCTCCATGATGGCAGGCTTGTGACAGCTGGGCGGAGGTTGCAGATGCGTCATGAGTTAGCGAATGCACGTGTATCTCACGCCGGCAGACAACTTACGATACAATTGGGAGCCGATGTTCCTGGCGGTCATCGACCGCGCTCCATGACGGGTCGCCTCGATTGGAGCACGCACCATGGTCCGAACGCGCGTCGTCTTGGCTGCGTAGGCCAGAGTAAGATCGTGAGCCCAATTGTGTCGGGCAAACCGCCCTGCCCTCTAAACGCATTTCGTCTTGAGGTCCCCGAGTTGTGCCTCGCGGGGGATATTTGTAAGGTACTGTGGACGAAGATGTCATCTAGATTGCATCCCAACAACGATAGGGACGTTCCGGCATTGAATTTGCCAGTAAGCGGGTCGATCCTGAACAACCTGAGCGGCTCTACCCCGGTGCGTGCTCACGCACGCGGGGCATCCTGCATCGCAGAGAGGATCTGGCTTTGGGTTACCGTCGGACGACGCAGGCTCCCTGGCGGACTGCACTGACAACGAATGGCCCAGGATCGCATGAGGCGTCGTGTAAACGTGGCATCATTCTTGGAAGCCCGCTAGGCCCGGGCCTCTTCGCACGCTGCGCCAATTGGACGTATGGTGCGTGCCATCTTCCGACGACGATCGACATGTGGCTTGCTGGGCATGCAGGTCAAGTATACCGGCACAGGGTGCAGTGCGTGCGTATATGGAAGGGACGGTTCCTGGACCGGAACGTTATGGCGATCTACCGCTGAGGGACCGACCAGCACTCAGACTGACGCGAGTCCCTCGGGTCCGAACGTGCAGCTGTGTAGGCCTGGAGGAAGGTCGCGAGCCTAGTCGCGTAGGGGGTCCGGCTGATATTGTGCCAAGATGGCGTGGCCGAACTGCGCTACCACCTCTCAGGCTCGGTCTGCAGGCGAAGCGTTTGTTATTGACCGGCACGTCCTGGTGCATGGCAGATGAACGAGCGTACCGGCAGCCGTTGCATCGAGATTTTGGAGATCTGCGCCGTGTCTCGCAGTAGAGGTCCGTGTTGCTATTGAGCGGAGGGGCAGGCACTACGGGATCGAAAACAGAATCAGTCAAAACCCAGCGCGACCGTCATCGTGTTGGTGCGTCTACGGCACGACAGGGCCCAAGTCCGCAGAACTCACCGTGTAGAATCCGCATGATCGCCGCGCGTGCCGCTTCGTCGTGACAGGCCCAACCTTGATGTCCCGATTGTCGGCGTCAACTAATAGGTGCTTGGCTGACCGTCTGCCGTGGGCGACCGGACTCTGAGTGTGGTGCACGTCATCCCGATAGATGGTCGTCTTGCAATATGCGATAGGCGTCTTGCCCTGTCTGACAAGAGGACATGCGGGTTCGCGAGAGCCGTGCAGTTGTTTGATCGCTCATTGTGGGAGAAGTGCACCTTGTGCGCATAGGCTACTCGGCGGCGCAGAACGAGGATTCTGATAGTCTCACTTCTGTCAGACATGCTCAGTAGAGGGATGACGAAAGCCGGATAGTAGGACAACGAGCTTGCGTGGCGACGTGTTTGAGCGAGCGAGCGGTAGGTTCTCGTGCGGGCCCAGGACGAAGTCGCGCCGCTGTATCGTTCGCGTGCTACATCGGCCAACCTGTGGCCGAGAGACATACTACAGGGGCAATGTGCTAGTGTGATGGCGTCAGTACGAAGCTGTGCGGACGCGTTTGCACACGCTGGACGGTATCGTGCAGATTGGATATCTCGGTGCAAGGCCGCGGCACGCAGTGTGGCGGTGAGTGCACTACATAATCCGTCAATATATACAATGGCATGGCGAGATGTGAGGGCAAAGAGAGGGGGCGGGGAAAGACGTCTCGACTAGGCAGAGGAAGAGATGCGAAAACGAGCAGCGCCAGAAAACGGCAGCGAATGGACGGGTCCAGGCTTGGCGGACTGGCAGCGAAGAGGGCGAACAGTTGAGGGAACGCGGGCGAAGAGAGCGTTGAGCAGAGACAGCCAGGGTCAGCCAGCCAATGGGAGCTCTTGACGCGATTCACGGCAGCCAATGGGAGCTCTTGACGCGATTCACGGCAGCCAATGGGAGCTCTTGACGCGTTTCACGGCAAGTCATCTCGACATCACAGGAAGCATCCTCTTGCAAGTGCATGGGCTGTGGCGTATTGCAAGTAGACGCTCTGGACACGGCAACACGTGAAACATGGCTGTTCTCACGGGACACCGATACGCGATCGGATTTGGATGCGTCTGGGCGTCTGGTGGGCGCGTGTTCCAACGTGTGCTGCATCGACGGCTCCGACCACCACCTTCTTGCCCATCTTGAGTCTCCTTTCTTGCCCAATGACTCTCTTCTTGACGGTCTGATTCTAGGCACGCATGACAACGGCTGGCTCTTATAGCGGACACCTCGTCGATTCCTACATGGCTGCACAATCCCCTCGCGGACCCTTCGGACAACCACTTCATATTGCCACACACGGCGCCATGTCTTTCGCACCCCAGATGCACGGCACGTTTAGCAGCAACGGCGGTGCAAGTGTATTTGGCACGCAGTCAACCCTCTTCTCTGAGCCGTCCTTTATGGACGTGTCCGAGGAGAGCGCAAAGAAGATCGCCGCGCTTCAGGCAAAGCTCGACAAGAAGCTTGGTCCGGAGTACATTTCTCAGAGACCGGGACCGGGAGGGGGTCCTAAGCTCACCTACGCCGAGGGTGCGTTTTTCCTGCTCTCTTACAGTGACATATGCCTGAGGCTCACGGGGCGTAGGGTGGAAGATCATCAACCTCGCGAACGAAGTGTACGTCCATTTGTCCTGCTGCAGATGGTAGAGGGAGCCAATTGTCTGTAGGTTCGGCTTCAACGGCTGGAGCTCGAGTGTTGTCAACATCACAACAGACTTCATTGACTTCAACGAAGAGTCGCGACGCTTCAATGTCGGGGTCACTGCGATAGTGCGAGTGACACTACGAGATGGAGCGTTCCACGAAGACGTTGGATATGGTTTACTGGAGAACTCGAAGAGCAAGGGAGCCGCTCTTGACAAGGTGCGCCATATTTCACTTGCGCAATGAATACTCTAGAACGCGCATATAGTGCAAGAAGGAAGCGGTGACCGACGCTGTCAAGCGCACTCTGCGCAACTTTGGCAACCTACTGGGAAACTGCTTGTACGACAAGTCCTATACACAAGAGGTGATCAAGATCAAGGTTCCCCCAGTACGTCTACCCCCTATTTCATAGTGTCGCCATCGCTCCCTAGCACTCTCTGATGTACGAAGAGCTAATTAACGACCCTAGCCCAAGTTCAACCGTACCGACCTCCACCGCCGCCCCGAGTTCGAGGAGACCAAGCCCGACGTCTCCAACCTTCCTCAAGCCTCCGCATCCACCTCCCATACCACCTCTTACCCTACCGTATCCTCGTCGTCATCCGCAGGCCCCTCCCGTCCTATCATCAAGTC